TTATTATTCCCATTTTACATCTTTTATAGCAGAAATAATATCTAATTTAACTCTACAATTCTTTATTGTTAAAGACAAACTGTAATACATTTTGGGTTTTTTTTGGTACCAGGGACGGAACTCACGACCGTGTGCTTGAGGCAGGCAGCGGAACCACTGAGCTAAATCCCCGGCCCCGTAACAGATTTTGTATACTAGTTTTGTCCAACAATTTTGCTAAATTCTCATTAGCTCTAATAATCGGAAAAGCTTTTTAAAATTTTGTGAAAATGAGAATTTTATTTTTAATATTCTTTGATTTCTTTCATTTTGTTATTTTTCTGTGTAGGACAGGACTGTTGAAGGGGAATCTTACAAGAGCTACTGATTCAAGCCACAGGCATAACTTGAAATTTTCTAACAGATACACACAAAATTTGAAAGAACAGATTAAATTCATTTTTTGAATATACTTAATGTATCAAGAATATCATTTCAAAGTGTAATCAATATCAACATGAGACTTTTAGAGTGAGTTTTTGAGTATTAAGGCTGGAATCTGGTGGGTATTTAGCTTTACTCTCCTATCCCATTTGGTTTTGTTTTTTTTTGGTACCGGGAATCGAACTCAGGTCCTCGCACTTTTGAGGCAGGCGGCGGAACCACTGAGCTAAATCCCCAGCCTTCTCCTATCCCATTCGGATTAGTCACGTTTCAGAGGCTCAGGGGTTGCTGTGGCTGCCAGGGACAGATTTCCGATATTGGGGGGACGTGTAACAGAAACAGGGGCTCCAGCCTCCCTTGCTTGTCACCCATCTCAAAGGGGTGCTTGGAACATTTCCCGATCAAGTAGGATGCTTGCTAGAGGTTTTATTTTGCTTTTGCAGATCCAGGGATAAAGACATTCTGTGTATTCCTAGTTTGCTAGGATTTTAAGAACATAACAGCGGTTGGCTTTTTCCTGGAACTACAGAGATGATGTCTTCTGCCTCTGGTCTGATCCTCAGTGAATCACCCTCACTGAACTACTGGGCTCCCTGCTTCCTCCTTCACTTTCCTTCCCCCTTCCCCCTCCCTCCACCCTTGGGGATTGAACTCAAGGGGTGCTTTACCACTGAGCTGTAGCCCCAGATCCCCTCCTCCATTTTCTATCTTAGGGGGTAGACTTTTTCCCTACCCAGTTGCCCAGGCTGGCCTTGAACTTGCGATCTTCCTGCCTCAGCCTTCCAAATCAATGAAACTACAGGCTTGAGGCACTGCTCCTAGTTTAAATTGATTTTCAAATGTTAAACCAGCCCAACTTTATCACAAAGTATTATTATTTTTTATATGTTGCCAGGTTTGATTTGCTAATGCTTTCAGATTTTTTTTTGTATCTCTCTTCAAGAGTAACACTGGTCTATAATTTTCCTTTCTTGTACTGTACTTGTCATACAAAGAATTAGGAGAAATTCCTCTCTGTATTATGTGGGGAAGCTGGGTTTAAGGCTGGAATGATTTCTTTTTTAAATAAACCACAGGCGAAGCCCTCTGGGGCTGGGTTTCTTTGTGGGGACTATCACTAATGATCCACCAGTTTCCTTTCATGATTAAGGGAGGTCTGAGGTTTAGTTTATGCAAAAGACTTCAGGTCACTCAGTACCCAGACACGTTCATACCAGTTGTGTCAGTACATCAGTCTGTGCTGGGGACAGGCATTGCCTCCTGCTCAGGGCGTGACTGGTTACTACAACTGGTATCATGACCAGAGTCATCGAATTGTTTTCCCTCTGTTCTTTTGGTCAATTTCACTGAAGGGCTGGCAACAGCGTCTTTTCCTAGGAAAAACTGTGTGTTTTCTGATCCCATTTCTTTTTCCTTTTTGGTACCAGGAATCAAACTCAGGACCTTGCGCTTTCAAGGCACGCGTGGTGCCACTGAGCTAAATCCCTGGCCCATCTGATCCCATTTCTTTTTTTTTTTTCTTCCTTCATTGAGTTTATTGGTACATTTTAGGTATACTGTACAATTATATTCATTATTGGGATCTTGTACCTTTACATGACAGGTCTTGGTTCTCATTTTTTCCCTTTGTCCCTGCCCTCCCTGATCCCATTTCATTACTTTCTGCCCTTACTCTTTTCTTGCCTTCCTGTGATTTCTTTGGCTTACTTGGCTGTTGTCTTTCTAGCTTTTTGAAATTGGTACTTGGCCATTATTTTCAGACTTTTAAGAAAAAATAAGTGCTAAAATATTCTAAGTACTGTACTGCCTTAGTAATAGCCCACAATTTTAATACATATTTCCATTCAGTTGATATATTTTATGATTTCAATCATGATTTTTTTCTTTTTGTTCCATTAGTTACTTAGGAATATATTTAATTTCCAAACTTATCGGGCTTTCAAAGTTGTCTTTCAAAATTATGTTCCAAACACAAGGGGCTATCAGAGTTATTAATCTCTAGCTTATATAGGTTGATGTCAGAAAATACACTTTATATGATCCAGGCTTATGAAATTTCTTTTGAAAACTGTTTCGGTAAATAGTGTCATTAATGACATTGTTCAAATTTAACCTTAGGAATATTTTTTCTGCTTGTTCTGCTGATTACAGAGCAATGTGTCTTAAAATGTGTAATTTGGACCCATAATCTGTAATTGTAGTTGTCTATTTCTTGTCCTTCTAGTCTTTATGTTTCCCTTAAGATTTTAGTATTTGGATACAAATTTGAAATTGTCTTACCCCTCTGGTGAACTGTATCCTTTTCTCTGCGAAGTGAACCTTTGGATCTCTGGTGACACCTCCCCCTTATTAAAATACCACACCCACCTTCTTTTCCTCAGCATCTGCATGCCGTTTCCCTCCCCGCACTAACTTCCAACCATTTAGTATTTGTTTGTTTGGGAAATATCACTGATCCAAATGGCACTGAGGTGGGTTTCATGCAGTCTGCTAAGCTTTGTATTTTAACGACAACGTTTAGACCGCTTGCACTCAATTCCAGAATCTTTTGAGTGAATACCTATCATCTCTTGGTTCCATCAGTTGTATTTTTTCTGTCCATTCCTGCCTGCCTCAGGATCGCTTGGGTCGGTTTTCTTACTCCCAATTATTTATTTATTTGGTACCGGGGGGCTGAACTCAGGTCCTTGTGCTTTCGAGGCAGGCAGTGGAACCAGTGAGCTAAATCCCTGGCCCAACCAATAATTTAGAGAAATATCACTCACTGTATTCCCATTCTCTTAGTTTTTCTTAGTGATGGTAACTTGGCTTTTCAGCTCAGCCGTCTTCACTTTCTTCCTGAAGAATGTCAGAATTTAGAAGGTCCTACCTCTACCCAGCCACGTTTATATGCCACGACCATTGAGTATTTTAATTCTATTTTTATCCAGAAGACAGTTGCTATTTTATATTATAAATGTTCTTCATTGTTTTCCCTATTGCAACAGACCTCAGTCTGATCATCTTCCAGCCCCGAAATTCCTCCGCTGGAATTCCCCTTAGGGAGGGACAAAGTTTTAGTGTTTGTGAATGTCTTTTCACTCTCCATCTACAAAATATTTTCACTGGATATACAATTCTTGAAACATCTTTTCACTAGATACATAATTCTAGGATGATGGTTATTTTTCTCTCCGTGCATTTTGATATATCATCTTACTGCCTTTTGGCTTCTTTTGCTAAAAATATCAGTTATAAATCTATCATTCTCTTTTCCTGGGCGCCGAATTTCATCCTAAGGGGAACAGGGAGCTTCGTTTACGGGGACTCTTCTAAACACAAGTGATCCAGTCACATGCGAAATTTACAAAGCACTCTGGCACGGCGTGGACCAGGACAGGTGGGGACCCGCACTCTGGGAGAAGGATGTGGCCATGAACCAGGGCGCAGGGTGTGGGGGGTGCCGGCGGGACAGCCCCGGGTCACGGCGAGGCCGGACTCCGTATCAGCTCAAGAATCCGGGGCGGGGCGGACAGGACGACTCTGGGTTCTTTTTTCGTTTTGAGACAGGGTTTCGCTACGTAGTTCAGGCTGCCCTTGAACTATGTAGCTCTGGCTGGCCTGGATGTTGTGGCGATCATCCTGCCTCGGCCTCCCAAGTGCTGGGATTGCAGGCGTCCACCACGCCAGGAAGCCTCCTGGGTTCTTGGAGGGGAAGAATGGAGGTGCCGTCCGAAAACGGGATAGAGATGGTGGGGATAATGAGTTCGTCTTGGATCTCAAGATCCATTCATTAATTAGCAGGGCAGACAGTATAGCACGGCAGCAAAAAGGCCCCCGTGCACCTCATCTCCGCCGCGGCTGTCGGGCCTGCGGGCTGCTCTCCGCACCGCCG